GTGTGTGTGTGTGTGTGTGTGTGTGTGTTACAAATGATCGTATAAACCAGGCAAAAAGTATTCTGTGCCAAAAAGAACGATATATTTATAATGAAAAGAAAAAAGGAGAGGAAAATGTAAAATATATATATAAATCTAATATTAAGGAAAATGAAATACTTACTTGACTGTTGATCCTGATTTCCAAATACGGAGGAAAAGCTATTATCTGTAACAAAGTTATTATTTGCTGGTGTCGCTGCAAAACCTAGAAAAAGTCAAAAGCAAAAGAAAAACTATAAAGATCATAAGAAAATAGAAAAAACAAACGAGAAAACAAAACAAAACAAACAAAAAAAATATATGGCTGATTCTCAAAAAAAATCGAAATTGATGTCTTTGATCATTTTTATAAACCAGGATCGTCAATTATGAAAAGTTGTTTTTTTTAATAATACGACTGTACTAGATCTACGAATGTATGAAACAAATTTATTTTTTATATGATAAACAACAAAGATATGTCCAAGAAAGTACCCTGAAAATCATTCCCTCACTATATCCCAAGCGCTAAATTTGAAGATAATCATTAACTTAAAACGTAAAATTCCTAACAAATTGTTTATTATGATATTTTTTACTTATATAGGATAGTATTGACTATAGCTATATTAGTTCATAGTCTCATAAATGCGAATGGAAATATTTTTAAATATAATTCAAAATTTGTCCTTAAAAAAAGTATCATTCCCTCACCGTTTTGTAACAATGTGATTGGAGCAATACTCCAAGGCCTACCAAATCCCACTTTAATTTTTTTTTGTAGTTGGCAACATTGCCCTTGAGAACATATTCTAAAGTGGACAATTGAAGAAAGGATGTTTTCTTAAAATCAATTTGACAATAAGTTTTTTGAATATTACATTTTTTAACGTCATTTCCTCATGTAATGTTATCAAAAGGTAAGCATTTTTTTATTTAATAATCATAGCATATTTTTATATTTTTTCGGTAGTAATAAAGTACTGTTTACAATTCGTAAGAAAGTAAGGTTATGTTCCTAAGTTTGTAGCAATTTTGTTTCGTTTTGTCATTCCCTCATAAAATTTTTTAAAGTTGGTGACCATGTCCTTATAACATGGAATAACGAAGTCTATCCTGGTAAAATTCTTTCATTATCTGATGATGGGGCTTTAGTACGGTGTATGAAGAAAGGATCAAAATGCTGGAAATGGCCGACAGTTTAAGATGAAGAACTTTATGCTTGGCCTGACGTTCTTCGAATAATTAAACCCCCAAAGTTACTCAGTCGAGGTTGTTATTTTGTTAAAGAAATCGATGAGAAAAAATAAAAACTTTAAGAAGGTGAAAATAACTAAAGACAACTGCGATTAGATTGCATAGAGACTGATAACTGATAAATAATATTAAATTAGTAAAATTGCAATTTATGTTCTATTTTCATTATTTTAATACATTTAAATCATCAATATAAAAGTATACATTCTTGTCTTTAGTATGTTAAAAACGTAAATCAAATTTTAGACTGATTATATAGTACTTCTTAATTTCGTTCTTTAAATTATTTTAACTAAATTAATATTTAATATTACTTTTATGAGTCAACGTGTTTTGTTTGTAACAGTTAAATTGTTACAGTACGGATTTAATTATTATATTTTTCCAATAAAATTATTTAACTATTATAGTTTTGTAATAAAACAAATGATTGGTGCATTATAAAGTTTTTAATTATTGTAGAATCACATTAAAAATCATTCCCTCACGAATCTGTCATTCCCTCATTTTAAAATTTTTTTAAAATTTTTATATTCAATTCAAACTCAAAACAGTTGGGGACCACTATAATATTTTCCTCAAACAAGATATATACTACGACTTGAGCAACAAAAAATTCGATTACGAATTAAAAAAAAACTGATCAACTCGATAAAGCCATTTTCGACTTTTTTTCAGAATCAGCCATATATATAATATAATAAAATGAAGTGAATGTTGCATTTACCATTACCGTTGGTCATCCACATATTATTTTGTACTTGTGCAGGCTGTGTTTGTTGGACTTGTTGGGGTGCACCAAACATATCTGCAAAAGGATTTCCTGCCAGTTGTAGCAAATCGTCGGACGCTTTTTGAGGCTAAAATATCATAAAATAAAATATAGCATTAATATATTTCTTATATATTTGAATTATTAATATAATTTATGATGAATATTTATAATAAAATATAATGAAAATTAGAATTAAATTAATATTTGATATACAATAAATCAACAAAAGTACATTGACTGTACAACAAACTGGACATTATTAACGTCATAAAATCACGTCGATTAAGTTGGGCTGGCCACGTGGCGCGCATAAGGGAGGATCAAACGGCGCATAAAATAGAGGTCGGTATAACAAACGGGAAAAGACCACTAGGTAGACCGAGACGTAGATGGGAGAACAATATTAGAAGGGACCTGAAAGAAATAGGCTTCGAAGACCGCGAATAGAGGGGGTCGCTCTCAGGGATGTGAACACTGACAGGATTTGGTATTTGCGGAACTTTCGAGTTTCTAATACCAATTGATATATATACAATAAATCAACGAACAAATTTGTCAGTGATATATGAAAACAAAAAATTATATGGGCTCACACATCTTGTCATGCTGCAGTAATTAATAACCATAAACGTATGCAATGTTAGCTCAAGAAATAAAAATAATATGAGCAATTTATTTTGAAAGTGGCCTAACTCTATTTATGTTCGAATCGAGATATTGAAGGGTTTACGTTTCAATGCAATTAAAAATATACGTACAAGATACTAACGAGTCATACTGCTTAAGTGTATCTAAGGTTGTTAAATTTTTAGTCCCTATTAAAATAATGGCAATTATTAAGTTAATAATATGAGTTTTCTTACCACGAATAGAATTAGACTACTTTCAAAAATTAACAACCTGATTTGTTATAAAATTTCAAAGGGACCCAAGTCCATTCAATATAATTTAAGATACTTCAAATTGAAAAAAACAATACTCAATTTATTTTACATATCTTTAAAACACTTCAGAAACATAATTTATGTGATTCAAAACATTTTTTAACTACATAACGTACAAAATTACAAATATAACCTACCAAATAATTTACTATTTATCTACATTTGTTGCGTGTAAAAGGGATTTGAAAAAATCGGTGGTATATATCATAATAGGTTAATTATGTCCTTGAATTTTGCTGTTGTAATGTATCTAATATTTTTATATAGTGGTGTCAATAAAGTATTTTCGAACTTTCTTGGTCTACCCTGATGTGGTAATAAATTCAGGACTTTAAAATTTTCATTCTCATTCATTGATGTCTTATAGAAAATTTTATATGGTTCATTTCTGACAAAGCGCATCCAACATATTTTTAACCAGTTTATTGGTTCTTCATCAGAATTCTTTACACTTTTAAAAATTACGTCTTCTAATAATTTTGTTGCTACAAAATCTTCTTGTCTCATTTCATTTACAATAAAGTTATTACCTTTCCGACGCTTTTTAATAATATTGTAATAATCTTAGAAAACGAACAGTAAAATATTTTTTTAAATGACATTTCTACCACGTGCAACCGGAAAATAATAATTGACAAATGGTGTTAGGCCACTTTCAAAATAAACTTTTTCATCATTCCATTAATCAGCAAATTTTTTTGTTACAAAATCTTCATGATTTTAAATATATTAGTAACAAGTTGCTTCAGAATGGAATGATCATGTAAAAATGGAACTATTACGGTAGCTAACTCGATTTTTTTGGAAAATGGAGTTCGATCACTTTCAAAATGAACGGCTCATATATCCTGTGAAAACGTAGACGAAAACACTACATAATATAACAATAATTATAACAAATTTTAATGATTAAATAAATGATTAAATGGTTTTAAAAAACTGTCACTGTGATTCCTAGTTGCATCTGCCGTCGTGACTATGCTCTTAGTATGTAAATCAATATCTAAGATTACTAATAATTTCGATATAAAAATTGTCGAAATAATATAATTCGTAAATAATGTAAATAAAACATTGTAGTAAACAATCAACAATTACCTGATTATCAGCTGATGGTGCTGAACCGAATAAATCAACTATTGGCTGATGGGCATTGTTGGTAGGAGAACTCAAAAAAGGGTTTGTACTTGGACCACCCGAGGGCGACTGTACTTTAGCCTAAATTAAAAAATACAATTGACTTAATTTTGTACAACATTGTAATTAGAAATCTTAAATAAAGATTATTTATTTCCGACAATATTTTCTAATAGTAAAAGTCTTTGAAAAAATCTAAAGAAATACATATATTGTCTTCAAATGTATTGAAGTAATTTACAATACTTTATTTATCCAAATATAATCCACATTTCAAACGTGCAAGAATACAAAAGACCCCGGAGTTTGTGGAATCATTTACTAGGTATTATTATAAAAAGATTAACCTTGTATTGATTCATAGCTGCTTCCTCTTCCGCAAGAGCTTGTTGCCTTAATGCTTCATCGATGTGTCCATTTCCAGTATGATCAAGCCGTGCGTTACTAGCTGCCGTTCCAAATGCGGTACTGGTGGAAGACAGGGCGGACACTCCCGACTTTATATTCGTTCTATTGCTGCTTGGATAATGATAGGGGTGGATTGTTGGTTGTGGGAATTGTTGTGTAATTAAAAATTAAGTTAGGAAAAATATATATAGTAAAGGAATAGTAAGGGAGGATAAATTTTGTTTTAGCACCAAAAAATGTGATGATAGGAATTTATAGGAAAGTTGATAATAGAAAATAAAGGAAAAGACAAACAAAAAACAAAAAGAAGAGTAGTGTAATACGTATAAATGCGACAGTGCCTAGAAAGTAATTAAGTAAGTCGTGTGCACTTGTACTTTAAATGGCTTTTTAAACAATTTACACATGCATTTATTTAATTTTTTCTCTCTACGATAAAACAGTAGTCTGATATAGAAATGAGATTTAATTCGGTACTATATAATATATATATAACGATCATAATAAGCTACGTATTATGCATCGTAGAAGCGTGTATACACATCATGAACGCATCCATAATACGCTACACACGACGACAGTATTTACATCATCAAGCATACACAGAACTTTAGATAAATACATGTGCTGTAATATCTTTCTATGTCACATAGAGAGTCAGCCTATTTAATATGCAGGCATTTTAAATATCAACATAGTTATTTTTAAATATTGTATGAAATATTATTAATTTATTTATTTTAAATTATTTAAATTATTGGACAATTCTGCATATATTCTCATTATTTTAATAATAATAATAATAATAATAATAATAATAATAATATTATTATTATTATTATTATTATTATTATTAT